ACTGCTGTCTTTCAGCCACACCCCTGATCTTCTGGTAGGAAAGATCTACACCTAGCCTTCTCGGACAAGGGCGAAAAATCTCGGAGGTCCTGTGTGCAAGTTGCGCACGTTAAAAATCCCTTGGTGGTCTAAAGTCGATGAGTAAGCTTCGGCCGCCACCTGGGCAAAATTCAAAATGTCCTATCACCTGAGAATATTAGGTGTGTCCCACGCGCTCATATGACCTTATGTAGTTGCGAGCGCCATAAAACACTTACCAAAAAAAAAAAAGAAAGAAAAGCCAAACAAACCTCCCATCCCCAAATTCTCCTCTCTCATTGTCAGAATGTGCAAACCGACGTGGAGGACCGTGCCTTGTACCTCAGCCAGCGGCCCAAAGTGTTCGAGAGCGTGTACAGAGGGGAGGACCTGGACAGCCAGTCACGCATGCACAAGGTGAGCCGCGGGTCTCTCATGCTTGTTCGCTGCTTGTTATTTGGTCGCTTTTAAGCACGAGGGGGCTATCCCGAAAAATGCTGTTTTGAGAAAATCGAGGGTAAAGTTTTTGCCCCTTGTTCAGTTTCTTTAAAAGACAAGGAGGGTTTTCTCCTTAACCAAAGAAATATACACACCAATGAAACCAAACTTCTCCGATTGGTAGGGCAATGTCCACTTTTGGTGTGGGTCAAGATTTCTGGAAACCCCCAAAATCTAGGTTAGCCCACTTGTCCTTAAAAGCGACTATTTTTGTGTGCTTTTCTTTTTATGTGTTTCTATTTTCTGTGGGTTGTTGGCGGGTGCTCTGGTGTGGTTTGCGCCTTCTCTCCTATCAAACATCTACTGTCCATATTGCTTCTTCTTTTATGTGTTTGCTTCTGTCTTGTAACGCCTCTCATCTTCGACACTTATATGACCTTATTGTGTTGCAAGTGTCGTAAAACTCTTACTAACCCTAAAACCAATTCCTATATTTTATGAAATATGACTGTTACCATGCCGAAAAAAGTCTGTTAGTGGCTTGATGGTCAAGTAAGGAAGGAGGTCATGACTTCATGCTTTTACTTTACAAGACTGTATTTTGTCATACAGTCGATCCAGTCCAAAAGCACCACCTATTGTCAAGGAGAAAAATGGTCATTATAGAGAAACGTGATCCCCTTGGACCATTAAAATGTAGCAAAATTATGCGGGGTATGGGGGGGGAGTGGTTTCCATCATGTAGGCATACTTCATACTTAGTAATGATTTCTATTGAGGCAGATCATTGCACTTTATTTTCTTTATGTTGCCTACTCACTCATGTTCATGTAGTCAATGATTGTCTGATAGGAAAATTATCACTAACATTGCACCTGAAAAAGGGGTACTGGACCATAAAAAAATCAGATAAAAAGAGTACGGTGAATAAGAAGGACTAAACATTGTTGTTGACTGTGTTCCAGGACTGTGTCTATGCGTTGCGGAACAGCTGGGTGTGGCTCAAGGAGCTGGTCTCCTGTCTGGACACACACACAGAGAACGCAGGGGGATTCCATCAGGTGACAAACGCACTCTTGGCTGAGAGAAAATGAGACTGCTGTCAAGTTTAGTTTTTCTTTTGTTTTGCTTGTTTTTTTTAATACCTGGAAAGACAGACTGTTTTGCTTTTTTAAAATTTTGTTTCTGTTTTTTGTTGATGTATCTGAAAAGACAAACTGTAAAATTTTTGCTTGTTTTGTTTTGCTTGTCTTTTATTATTGGAAAGACAGACCTTTAAATTTGTAGTTGTTTTATTTTGTTTCTGCTATTAACACATTACAAGACAGGCTGTAATGTTTTTGCTCTCTTTGTTTTGGTTCTGGTTCTTATAGGCCTACCTTGAAAGTCAAATTGTAAAATCTAAATATTTGTTTTTTAAAATTTTGCCTGTGTTTTTCCAAGTAGCACAGCTTCTGTTTTTTATACTAGGAAAACACATATTAGACCCTGTACCACTGATTTCTACATTATTGAACCCTCAGCCTTCTGCTGATATTTCTATTAGAATCAAATTACAAGCACGAAGTAATCATTACATTTAATCTTCTGGAAGGCTACACTGCAACTGGATATTTTTTGGAAATTATAACTTATTGACATTTATTTCAATGCTGCTTTTTAGAAAATAATTTTTCAGATTTAAAAGTATCCACAGGATTATTAATTTTTTTTCAAGGTGTTTTAAATTATTGATTTTTATTCCCTCTCAGTTTTTCTGTCTATCTCTCTTGCCTTTTTCCTGCTCTAAAAGACCGGGGGCTCTCGTGGCCTAGAGGCTAAGGTATTCGCCTCTCATTCAAAGGTCCCGGGTTCGAATCTGGGTAGCGGTGGAAAAATTTTTTCTCTCTAAAAGTCTCTCCTTTCGCTTACTTTCCTGCTCTCTAGCAATGTTTTATCATCTGCTTTCGTCTCCACTTTCTACCCCCACCCCCTCACCTCCTTTGAAACCCTCCTCTGGGCTTCTGACTCTTTCTGCAGCCTTTCTACTGCAACTCCTTGGCTTCTTCTTACTGCTGTCTTTCAGCCTCACCCCTGATCTTCTGGTAGGAAAGATCTACACCTAGCCTTCTCGGACAAGGGCGAAAAATCTCAGAGGTCCCGTGTGCAAGTTGCGCACGTTAAAGATCCCTTGGTGGTCTAAAATTGATAAAAGTAGGCTTCAGCCGCCACCCTGGCAAAATTCAAAATATCCTACCAAACTGAAAATGTTTAATGTGTCCTGTGGGCTCATATGACCTTATGCAGTTGCGAGCACCGTAAAACACTTACCAAAATAAAATAAAAAAAGTAAAAGACCATATCTGTATCAATGTATTTCTCTTTACTAAAACAAACTGAAATTGATGATATTTATGAATTTGATTGTTTGGCAAACTCATGTAATCAAGGACATCAAAGAATTGAAGTGAAGGGCTAGGATATCAAACTTGTGAATTTTCGATTTTGAATTGAAGAAAAGGATGGCTCTTGTAAATGTCTGCTGGTGGTTGATGGGTGATCTAGTGTAGTTTGCTCCATTAATGCGATCAAAGAACTAGATTGTATCTCTTTGTATGTTACTCTCAAGTAAAACGTCTATCTTTGGTACTTGTATGACCTGTTCGTGTTTTATGTGCCGTTAAACTCTAACCAAAACTAAAAATGCTAAAGTAAATGTCGTTTTTTTTCCGTGTGCCCCCTAGTTCCACCATGATGTGAAGCACCTGGAACAGGACATGTTAAGTTACCTGCAGTGGCTGGACAGCCCGACGGTCACTGCACCGGTCAAGACCTCTGACCCCACTGTCATGCTACAACACTTCAGGGTGAGGAGAATAATGTTACGAGATAAGGATGGATTGAGATATTGCTTTCAGGAAATTGTTGTAATTCCTGAAATATGGGATATCCCACAACAGGTTTTGTTCTCAGTATGAATTATTTTCCTCTATGTACAGATCATTGACGCATTTGTCATTAAATCTAGATTTCTAATAAGGTTTAGATAAATATAGATTGCACAGTGCATCGAGCTTACTGTTGAGCAGGGATATGCGCTGTACAAATGTTATTAATTACTGTCATTATACTTTTACTCATGTCGCGTCCTTCTGTCAGATGCTGCTGAACCGTCTGTTAGACTACCAAGGGCGGGTGGAGCGGCTGACACAGCGTAGCAGGGAGGTGTACCCCATCCACTACAGGAAGGAGCTGCCGGACTGGCCCGTCAAGGCCAAGGTTCTAGTCAACTATGACCACAAAGAGGTGAGGCAGTCATAAAGTGAGACACAAAGTTTGGCCAAACCCTTCTTTTAGATTTTTAAAGGCCAGATGATTGTTCTGTGCTATAGAAGACCGTCTTATTTGTTGTCAAAACTGGCCTTCAAGTGTAAAGGCAAATGAAAAGAAGTAAAGTGATGATTCTCATACCCATTTCATTGGAAACTGATTCCCAGGGCTGTTTAAATTGAATAAATTTTAAAAAATTATTTCATATTCTGGTGGGGGGGCTATTCCTTAGTAAAATAATGTCAAATTTTGTTTTCCAGAGACTTATCAGACTTTTACATGTTGGGTTGAACAGTTGTAAAGAAAAGCTCTTTGTATTTGTTTTATTCCAGGTATCACTGAAGAGAGATGATATGGTCACGATCCTTGACAACTCTGACCCAGAACGGTGGATGGTGAGTCCATTATGTCTTTTGTTACTGCAGTATAAGCTGTCAAAAGTGGTCTTAAAACTAGATAGCTCTAAAAGATTCTTGAAAAAAATTTGTATGGGCAGAAAGCTGATGGAAAAACTCTTTTACGTCATGCACTTACTTACTGCTTACTGATCCAAAATTCCGCGAGGACCATAGGGGTGCTGTATGATAGAGAGCCTCGTCAGGTGCCTCCCCTTTTCACGTTTTTTTTGCGAGCGCCTGAGTTTGAGCGAAGGATTACCCTGTCCACTCCGCAATGTTGTCAGTCCGCTTCTTCCTTTGCCATCATGCACTACTCACTTTATATTAAAGCATAGAACTGAAATGTTTTATTAAAGCATAGAACTTAAATGGTATGAAAGGCAGCAGCTCTTCTTTCCCTTGACCAATCCGAGCAAAATCACATCATCTGATTAGTATAACATTGTACACATTATGTGTTAGCTAACATCACAGCTAAATTAAAAAGGCAACAGCTCTCAGGACATAAATTTTTGATGATATCTGAAAACAGGAATTCGTACAAGAACCAATATGTAACTGCTTTTTCTTGTCTCAGGTGAAAACATCTGATGGAGCTGAATCTGAAGTGTCTGCTATAGTGCTGGTGATTCCCCCACCAGATCCTTCGTGCTTCCAGGAGGTCAACAGGTGAGATTTAATTTAATCAGCTGCATCTGGCGCTTTTGTGTTCAGCACTGCCAACAAAAGTTCACAAGGGAGTTAACACAAGCTCTGTATTGCAATATGATTGACACAGTACAACAATGGGGTTGGGTGTTAAGTGTTTTGGTTAATATTCGAAAGGAGGGTCTTTCCATTAGGTCCATATCTTACTGGCTCTGGGCAAAGATTTAGTGCAAGATGAAGGATTTAGATTATAGGAAATGGAATGCTCTGTCTGGATTGTCAGTTGTACTCAGTGAATAATAAATGCTGCTATTTTTTATGAAGTGAAGCCTGTCATATTTATTTGTAGTAATCGTCCTGGCCTACAAGACTGGGCAAACAATAGTTATGTAAAAATATTGGTAGTTTGTTGTTTTACTGTGATCAGTTTGCAATGTATGTTAAATGTTATTTTTGTCCTCTCTAAACACTCTGTTTTTCTTTTTCTAGAATTCTCTGACATTTGATATTTTCAATGCTTTTTGCTACTGGTCAGAAACATTTATCAGACAAGGAAATTAAATGTACATATTTGATATTGTCCGGCAGGTTACGTGAACAGATGTACGTCCATAGTGAGACATCAGCGAAGCGTTTGCGCTCTCAAATTTTACAGTTTCTTCCCATCATGGTAGCCAACACACAACCGAAAGAGGTGAGAGTACTAAGTGTAATGTCATAGTTATGGTGTACTATGAGAACCTGGTACAAATGACCAGTTTCTTGAACAGACACATTAGGCTGGTTAGGTTTCTTCATGTATGCAAAGTGTGGCAATTTTGATGTTAAAAATTATAAATTAAGCTGCAAGGCATTGCAATTTGCTTTTCTGATAGCAAGTTTTGTGATAGTCGGTACTTTGTAGACTTTGTCAATTTTTTAAAAGTATGTTTTCAAGTGCGAGTTTACTTGAATGCTTGTTTTGCAACCAGCATGTATCTGAAAATGTCCATGCTGTGTCCTCATATCACTCAATATACAAATAACAATCAATATATAAGTAATGCTATTTATTATTTCAATACACTAACCCTCAGCTGAGTGGCTTATCATCAGAACAAAAGTCAGCTTACCTCACCTTGGCCAATGAGGCCACACAACTTCTGCGTAGCTCCTCGCTGGACGACCCCGAGTACCAGAAGATGAAGAACGAGATGACCGCCTTTCGGAAGCTGGTCAGTCAGGTCAAGCCAGGTGAGGCACTTAAATATTATAATAGGGGCTTGGATTTTCTTGAAGTGTCCAAAATTTCACAGGAGATATGGAAATACAAACTTGCTCCTACGACCTCATGTCCAGGACAATCACCTGTACAAATGACCACTCCCCACTGCCCCTCTTGCTTCTTTTTTTTCTTCTATATTATAATGACCCTGTCCAAGAAGGTCACCTGTCTAAGATGTCCACTTTTCACCTAGACAATGGATGGTCAGCTTGGACAGGTTCAACAGTATTTGTCAAAGGCTTTTGTGTTTGTTACAGTTCTGTGCCTCTTTTTAGATGAACCATAACTTTTTATTTGTGCAGAAATCAGTACGGTCACAATTCATTACGAAATTAAAATTGCTGTCTTCTTTATTTGCCTAGACGTGGAGTTTAATTAGTGTGACATACTGAAGGCTGAAAGAGGAAGAGGATAATTTAGATTTTCCCTCATTTTTAAAATATGATTCAGATGAGTATAAAGGGACATGTATTCTTCTAAAGAACATAGCAAATAGAAAAAGATTTCACTCCTTGAAAGCAAGTTTTGTCTACGTAGTTTCCTTTCGACATTGTTTGTCATGTAAAACAATTCTTGCAGGCCTCAAAGTTGTTCTTTTGTAAATTGTATATTGCTGGCATGAATGTTTGACTCTGATGGCCACATAGTTGTACACTACAATCATTTAATTGAGCTTTATTTTTTAAAACATTTTCAGGTTCAAAAGATCTGAAAAACCCTGCTGTACAGAGATGGAACACAACTGGTACTTTGCTGAGACAATACAAGGTAAACTCTCTTCTCAGTAATTCTTTTTTTGTTTTCATCAAAGGCTGAATGAATATTCCTATTCCTTTTAAAAAGTCCACAGCCTTATCTTCTTTTCCTTTTCTGATCTTCGTTCCTCCTCTACATATTTTTCATTGTCTCGTTTTGTTTTCTTTTGCTCTTTTTTTCCTGTGTTGATCTTAACAAGCTGGAATTGGGTGGCCAAATATGTAATAAGTAAATGGACCTTGTGCTCTTAGTAAACTGACCACAGAGTACAGAAACTTTGAGAAAGGTCTTATTGGTAGTCAGTTTGTCTGGAGCCCAAAGTTCAACCCATTCCCTATCAATGTGACCCTTAAGTAGTTAACTCTAGGACGTGCCTCCAAGCCTGGGACTCTTCAAGGCAAAATAAAGGCAAGTGAAGAATAGTACCCATCTTTCTTGGTTCAAACCTTTTCTAGAATAATGTAACTGGTAGATATGAATACACCCCCCCCCCCCCAACACTATTATCATAAAGCTGATTTTTCTTTCCAACTTTGGCTTGACTTCCATTCTGTATTCAACTTGTTGATGTATGTTATCTTTCCACCTGCAGGAGCTGTTGGCGTACGGTGACTACTTTTATGAAGAATCAGAACGAAATCGAAAGGAGGAGAGTTTACTAGTCAGAGATCTGACGTCCCCACCCACCTACACTTCCAACGCTTACTTCCAGAGGTTTGTTTATTGACACAATGCTCTTTTCATTTTGAATGTAGGCTGAGATTTGGATATGTTAAAAGCTTTCAATTAGAAGTAGTGGATTTTCCAGCATTGATAGAATTTTCTGTTACATTAGAGATGCTGAGTTGGTATTAATGTCTCATTTGAAAAATTATTCTTTTCTCTTATATGTCTTCACAAAATAACTGAATTTTGAAATTCTTTTATTTGAAGATTTTGAATTTATATCAAACATTTGATTAGTTCTTTTTCAGTGTCGAGAAAGTTTTCCTTTTGACTTTTAGGGCCTTTGAACATGTGGTCTTCTTAGAGAAGAAAAAACCTTTATGAAACTTTGATGTTTCTTGAGGGTCAATTAAAGTTTCTGCTTGATATGTCCTTTATATTCGCTCATGTTACAGTCACAGCCTCAATGTTTTTATGTCTTATTTGAGGTTAATTGATATCTTTTGCAGAGTTATCCCGACGGTGGATGTGGATCCTGTGACCAAGGAGACTCAGTGGACCTCCTTCAAGTCGGAGATCTACATCCACGAGCGACACAGGGACAAACAGTCTTCCGCCGAACTAAGACACAAACAGCGCAAGCAGAAGGGCTCAGCCCTTGCTGGGAACACACCCATGGATGAGGTGGACGGCATCCGGGCAGCGTCATATCAACCCACCTCGTCATCGGAAACCAGGAAGTTTGTCATCTCCGGGATCATCGACCTCAAAAGCGGTCAGAAACTCAGCGTGTCCCAGGCCTTGTCAAGGGGCATCATCAACAAAGAGTTTGGAACTTATAACAATTTGGAGACAGGAGAATCTATCCCCATAGCGGAGGCCATCGCGCGAGGTCTCATCACTGTAGAGTTTGCGGACGCCCTCTCCAACGGCATGTTTCAGAATGGTGGCGAGCAGGGAGACTTACTGCAGAACTCGCTAGAGACAAAGACTTATGCTATCTCTGGGGTCGTAGATCCCAGGACAGGGGAGATGATCAGTGTGAAGGAGGCCATCGCCTCGGGACTTCTGGATCCGAGGACAGGTGAGAATAGAGATGTACTACTTGGTACATGCTTTTCAGGTACATCATGTCTGGCTTTGAGGAAAATGATAGTAATGTATTAGGGCACATCAGTGTAGTGATTTTAAGAGAGGTACTAATTCCTTTTTGTCCAGAAAGTGCATATATACTTCCTTAGTTCACTTTACACCTGGTACTTGTAACATGTCTCAATGCACTTTACAACAGGTATATACAGAGGAGTGTGCTTAAACCGAACACAATTAATAAAAAAAAAAATAGCAATACTATACCAAAGGAAATGGAGCATAGTTTATTTTCAGTTGTGTAGGAAAAAGTAACTGCTTGTGTTTTTATAGAGATCCCAAAGGTACATGGTGTGAAATGTGAGGTTTTCTGCACATTCTTTGGGACTTTTGTTTAAATGTGGGGTGGTGGATGAAGGGAAAGATTAAGCTGTACGTTATGTTATAAGTATGTGCAACAATTTTATTTCCCTATAGATTGTATGATATAATTATCCTTTTCTCTTTTGCTGCAGGAAAGTTCCGGAACCCTGTGACAGGTGAAGAGTTGTCTCTAATGGATGCTGTCAGAGCTGGCTATCTCATGGCTGACCCATCACTTTTAGAAGACGAGGACGACAGGGACGGCCCCATGTACCAGAGCTACACGTCCATCGTCCTAGAGGAGGTCAAGTACAAGGTTGCCTCAGTAGTCGACCCCGTCACGGGGGAGGAGATCTCCCTAAAGAGAGCCATTCAAGATGGCATCGTTGACCCAAAACAAGGAACGTACAAGAACCCTCACACCGGTGAGGTCATGCCCTTAGAGGAGGCTATTAAGCGTGGGCTCATCAAGTGTCGGCCGTTTGACCCGTCCAGGGACAGAGATGACGACACTGTTCTCGCTTTCCAACAGCTGCAGGTGAAGAAACAAACGTTTAAGGCAGGCGAGCCAGGTTTGGTCAACGGGGAAGCGGCGAAGGCGGACCCTAACGAAGTTCTGCTTGACCGTCTCCGAGATCAAGTGAACACGGCTAAAGTGATGATTGTTGACCCCAGAACTGGGAAGCCCATCTCGCTCGAGGATGCTGTTGAGCAGGGCTTGATTGACTTGGCAAAGGGAACTTTTCAGACCCCTGATGGTCAGACAGTGTCCCTTCTAGAGGCTTGTGCTCAGGGCTATCTGGAGCCATCGGTGCTGGAAACACTTATGAAAGCCTACCATGGCGCAAGTCTTGGAGACATGATCCGTACGGGTCAGTTTGACCCGGACACTGGACTGGTCACTGATCTGACCACCGGTCAGACGCACACACTGCAGGCAGCGATTGAGAACGGTACCCTTGACCCTGAGACGACCTTCTTTTTCGACGTTGCAACAGACAGGATCACTAGCGTGGCTCAGGCCTTAGAGTCGGGCCGACTGGACAAAGCATCTGGGAAGATCGTCGATGCAGGGTCAGGGCGAAATCTCAGTGTCAGCGACGCTATCAAACAAGGTCAAATTCTTGCCGAGATTTCCCCCGAGCAGCTGGCTGAAAAGGCTGAGAGTCTGTCTCTTCTGCGAGGCTGCATGGACACGTCGATAAAGGGCATCAAGATCCCCAACGTGAGCGAGCTGGCCTCGGTGGAGGAGGCTGTGACCTTGGGTGCTCTGAGTGTGCCCAAAGCAGCGTACGCCGACGAGAACACGGTGGGCACTGTGCCGCTCCAGCTGGCAGTACAGATGGAGAAGGTGGAGCCTGCCGTGGCTGTGGCGCTCTTCTCTGCTTTCGACCAACATTCCTTAGAGAAGGCCATCCAGCAAGGCAAGTTTGACCCCGAGACAGGCAAAATCATCGACCCGGCCACGAGGAAAAAGTTTGCGCTGGACGAAGCTAAAGAGTGCGGAGGGTCCAACCCCGACTTTGTGTTCCTCGTGGATCAAGAAAGCGGAAACGTCACCACGCTCGGTGCTCTGGTCGGGAACGGAAAACTAGACCCCAGTTCTGGACACTTTGTCAGTGAGACCACCGGTCATCCTATGACGGTCAGTGAAGCTATCGCCCAGGGTCTTCTCGTCCCCTCCATAGAGCCGGAGAAATACGTGGACACCTCCTGCTCCCTCAAAGATCTCATCGACTCTGGGAAGGTGAACCCTCGCAGCACCGAGTTTGTCGCAGCGGGAGGTTTGCGAATGTCGCTGCGTGACGGGCTGGCCAACGGTTTCCTCACCATGAGCTCTAAGGTACAGCTGGACCCGGAGACAGGGGAGGTCAGCCTGGTGTCTGATGAGGCTGTGGTACAGTCCCTCATTGAGGTGAGTCAGTGTGTGTACTAAAAAGGTTGTATGATAAAAAGTAAGTCTCAATTTGACACCATTCCTGAAAGTTGTAGACCAATAAGCAGATTGGGAGGAATTTTTAAGATTTTAAAAATATAAAATGGTGTGCTTTTTGTTAAGGTTTTGTCCGATTTTGCTCTTTTCTTTTTTTTTTTAATTTCGAATGAATCTTCTGTACTTTCGACATTGACTTGCACTAGGAAATGTCTATTGGGATTAATAATTTTCAGCTCTCCATATTTTCAGTTGGTGTAAAAGTTACAAGAATACTTTGGTTTTGTAGTTTGTAATATTTCAGTGTTCAAATTCTATAAAGATTTGTTAGTAAACTTGGCCATGAGAGTATATGATGACTTTAGCATTCTATAGGTTCAGAGGTCTCATAAAAACAATACACTCAGGTGTGACATTTCTGCTTGGTTTAACTCAAAATATTGCTGTTTGCTTTGCACCACAGGTGAAAGAGAACTCTGACTGGCTGTCAGATATTGAGAGAGCTCTTTCATCCCAAGGTCGGCCAAGTGAGAGGATGGAGAAACTAAAGCGGCAAGCAGAAGACTGCCAGGTATGTACTGGATAGAAATTTGCTTTGGCATGGTAAAGACATATATGCACACACACACACACTCTCGCAAACACTCTGTCTGTCTATCTGTCTGTCTGTCTGTTGGTTTGTCTGTCTGTCTGTCTGTCTGTCTGTCTGTGTCTGTCTGTCTGTCTGTCTGTCTCTGTCTCTGTCTCTGTCTGTCTCTCTCTGTCTGTCTGTCTCTCTCTCTCTCTCTCTCTCTCACACACACA